CAAGACCCAGGCAGACAAGGGTAGGGTGGTGGGGTTTGATCTGAAACCTGGGGATCTTGTGTATGTCTCGACCAAGAACATTAAGATGCTGCGACCTAGCAGGAAATTGGGGTGGAAGTTCATTGGTCCATTCAAAGTGCGTAAAGTCATAAATGATGTGGCGGTTGATGTTGTTTTGCCTAAGAATTTACGTGCTCTGCATTCTGTTTTTCACATGAGCCTGTTGAAGAAGGATCCTGGCCCGTCTCCCTGGAGACCAGCAGTTACTCCTCCTCCACCTGTCATTTTGGAAGGGGATGAACATTTTGAGATCGCTGATATCCTTGATTGTAAATTGAAACGTGGTAAACTCTGGTACCTTATCGAATGGGTTGATTTCGGTCCCCAGCACCGCGAATGGGTGGAAGAAGGGGATATTCGGGCCCCTTACCTGATCCGTAGTTTCCACAAGAGGTTCCCGGACAAACCGGGAGGTCTCCCGCCCAGCCCGGGAGATCTCCCGCCCGACCCGGGAGGTGTGTTTTAAGTGTATTTTAAGGGGGGCAGTATGTCAGCAAGCTGCCATTCTGTTTTCTCTGACCTCTGTGTATATATCCTTACCCTGTTGCACCCGGCTTGTTTTTACTATCCTGCTTCTGTGCTGGAATGCATAAGATAACTACTGGTGGATGTGTGTGGGAGAAGATGCTGTAATGCTTGCCTATTGCTATCTCATGAGAACTGCACCTGTGTTTTGTCTGATGTTCTGCCTGGTTCCCATGGACTGGGCGCGCAACCGTTTCATTAGCCCGCCAGCGGGAATATTATTCATTGGATATGTATCTGTTTGAATTTCCTTTATTATGCTCGCCCTAACTGTGTATCCCGAGTTCTAACAAAGAACGTGTTTGAGTATGTCTTCAATGCTTTGAAATAAATTTTGCTTTTCTTGAAAACGTGGATTTATTCTCGATGCTTGGGGATCCAACAGTAATGTTAGCAAAAGAAGGCAAATACACCATGTACAAGCATTGGGATCTGGCCATGCTTCATATCCCAAATCTAGCCCACCTAACATGATTAATTCGCAGCACAACAGCCCTGATAACTATAGATAAACAAGACTATATTTACATATATACAACAGAATTTTTTCCATGGAAAACACAGCATCAGAAATTGACTGTAACATGCTTTTTGTGTTGTCCTTGAAAAGAACTCCGAAGCATCAGCTAGTGCCAGTGATATGGCATGGGAATTTTTCCATAACAAAGAAGGAGGGCACAGATCCACAGCATTAGCAACTAAAATGGCTCAGTGTTACCTATCCTTGCCAGAGTTAACATCTCATGTCCAACACAGCAAATATATCTAAAGCACAAGCCCTGTAGCTAAAAAAAAAGAACACAAAAGAACACAAAAATAGTGACGCACTGAAATCAACATCCTCAGGGCACTAAGGTGCTTTGACTTGTGTGGCTAAGCCAATTGAGGTCACACAGTGAGACAATACCCAGGCAGTAAGAGGGCAAAAAAAAAAAAAGTTTTTATTCGAATAAGGGACAACATGTAGCCAAACGTTTAGCTCAGATGTCCATTGAGCACCAGTTGTGCTCCAGTTTTTATACTCCTGGTTGTCCTCCCAGTTCTACATCACCCTTGACATCATTTTCTTTGTTTCTACCATCCATTAATTTTACCTTTGACAAACAAGGCATTTCTGGCTTTCTTTCAACTTTTACTGTCCTTTCATCCACAGGTGTCTTATCAAAAGTTTTATTATTAAAAGTGAAATACTGTACTCTTCTGGACAAAGAACTTTCACAGTATCTTTGTTGGCTATTTTCCTAGTTTTTCCATCTCTAAAAATTTACTAGCTTAAATTCATATTATAAGCAAAAATTAACTTTCTCTGCTATTAATAGTTTTTTTCTTTTGATACATGCATATATAAGATTTACAAATACTTGTTGTTTATAAAGTATTCCTACCAGATATATGTGGAGGATAGTGATAATCCCATTTCAGCAATTTCTTAGAAAAATCAAACTTCTTACTTCTTATGGCCACTTGAGGGCCCTTTCTGTATAGAAAATATAAATTCTGCTACTCCAATTAAACTAAATTGTCAAATGTCTTATGAGTTATTCCTCGTTAAAATACTTTCGCTTGATACAGGTATCTGAGATTGCAATTAAACTTTAAGAATGGTGTCTCTAATACTGAACATCTGTTCATTAATTTTTGTTGGAAACATCTTGGCTATTTTTCAATCTTGAGCTTATAATTGGCCGAGAGTACTTTCATTTGAATAAAGATTACCTCTGCCTGTTAAAATATTTTTATTGTAGCAGTTTAATTTTAAATCCTTGTTTCACAGCTGCGTACCAATAAATGTGTCATTTTCTTTGGCTAATAAGCAAGACTTCCTATTAAAAAAAAATACGAGATAGTCTTGCTTAGTGAGGAATATGGCCGACTTTCTTTTCCATAAACATTCAGAAATTTAAGGATCCATACCATAATCCTTAAACAGCAGTTATTTTCAGCTATAAACAAAATATTAAAAGCTGTAATTAACTTTTGGAAATAGTCAACAAATAAGAATAAGGGTTTGCCAAACCCATATCTCTATTGCAGAGATTTCAGGTTATTTCTGCTCAATAAATCTTACCCGCCCCATCTTGACATCCCATTAAAAATAAAGTATCTCTCAACTAAAATTGTTATCTAATTTCTTTTACTGGGCTTCTTGTCAGCTCATTAAATGTGACAGAAACCAGAGCTGTTATAACTTCTTGCTTTTGCCAGCTCATTCCAGGAAGCCTTAATGCTTTATCCCAAAAATATTGGCATTCATGGAACAAATAATTATCATTCAAACCACCTTCCCAGTAAATTGCACAACAGTTACTGAGTAGTACAAAGCTTATTCCAAATGCAGAAAAATATTCTACATAACCTTGAAAGGACTGTACAACAAAACATATCATCAGCTTCTATAATTCAAACAATGTATTAGTATCATTTGTTTTCAGTCTAATACTTTGACTTCTTTTCCACATCAAATGTAAGAGTGGATTGCTTGAACAGGGAATAAACTCCCAGACGTTAACATTTACTCGATGTGCAAAAACAGGTATGTCTGCCTAGCAACTTGCAGGGAAATTAGTACTGGAACAAACAATTAAACTTGAAGGAATGAGGACAAGTTAAGACTGCTACAACAAAAATTTGTTGGTCAATAAGCAGCAAACTCAACTACAACACGTAAGTTTGGCTGATGGTCGTTCAGCTGAAGTTTTGTGCAAAGGAGAACTAACAATTGCGCAAATTCTAGACCTCAGGCATGGGGTGAAGAACACTGAGCTATTTTATGATTTAACACCACTGACTCCCATACTTGAAAGTATCAGATTGTTGCAAAGTTTTCCAGGCAAGTAGTCATAAACAACGACAGATAATACTAGAAGTGCCTGTTACAACTACAACAAAATCATATAGCTTTCTAAATCCAGGGCATGGAAGAAGGCAGATTGTGACCATATCTGCAATTCTTCAAATATGATTTGACATCAGACAAGAGAAGTTACTGCCCTATGTTTTACTTGCTGTTTTTATACAAGCTTCATTTTTTTAAAACTTTATTATGTATTTTATAAAGTTCTGTTTTTAACTGTTAGCTACCTTGGTAGCCCTGTTTGGACTGAAAGGCAGCATATAAGTTTTGCAAATAAAAATTAATCCTCCATGTAAGACAGACACTAGCTTTGTAATCTTGCAGCCTATGAACATTTTCCAGAGTTCCACACACTAGCAAGAAGGACCCTAGATCTTCGGAAGAGCAGAGTTTCCAGAAATCCCATTTTAAAAGATCACACATCTTTTCTCTGCTTGTATCTCCATAGAAACCCTTCCTGGACATGGGGAAGTTTACTCCTGGAGCTGCAGGATGAGCACAGACCAACAGGCATGTGGGGTAGGAGTCTAGAGTGGGGAGGGAAGGAGTGACATCACCCTGTCCTCCTCCATTAGCACAGCTGAGAGGAATTTTTTGTCCTCCTCCCAGCTGCAGCCTCTTGACCCACACGGCTATTCCTTCATGCAGACCCTGCAACCCTGAAAACTTTCCAAGATCTGAAAGGACTGCTGAGTAGAGGGGGTATGTGGGAAACATCCACAACTGTCAACACCTCTTGCTGACAGATCACAAGATTAAAGTCAGTACCTGCAAAGTGCTACCTGTACTTTCCCTCACCTTTTGTTTAGTCATATCAATGCTTGACACTAGAAGTTAGACAAATTATACAGGCTTTGTAACGATAGTAAAAAAAATAACACTCATTGAACAAACCTAACCCTTGTAGGAAGGGATTACAACCTAGCATCTCAGCTATGGAGATTCTAACGATGATCAACATAATTCCAAAGCCAAGAGTCACTCAATAGCTTTGATGATTTTTGGTTGGTCTTAGTAAAATCAGTATGCAAGTTCCATATTCTCTGCAACTCTTCATCAGCTGAGTGTTCATAACCAAAGAGAGGGAAAAGAGCTGAGATCCAACTTGGCACTATGCCTCAAAACAATTTTTTTCCTCGTTTCCCTTCCTTTGCTTTTTTGTACTGAGCATCCAGGCTGAAGAACAGAAGAAGAGGAAGAGATTGGATTTATACCCCGCCCTTCACTACCCAAAGGTGTCTCAGAGCGGCTTACAAACTCCTTTCCCTTTCCCTCCCCACAACAGACACCCTGTGAGGTAGGTGAGGCTGAGAGAGCTCTTGACAAAAACAGTTCTAAATAATCCAAAAGCTTGCACAATGTTTACTGATATTCTGATTGGTCCTAATAAAATGTATTACATGACTTTGTTTTTTTGAATTTGTCTGCAGATCAATGCCACTATATGCCATTTATTTCACCAACCTACTACAGCTATACCACGAGCCCAGTAAACCACAGGTATGATGATCACCCCCAAAGCACAAACCAAGGACTTCCAGCCTTCCACTTCAGTATATACCTTCAAAGATAGTGTCTTCTGCAAGACATCAAAGAGAAACTGGGCTTGAAGGATGGCAGACGTTTCAGCAGGGTGTGATGAGAGTGCAATAAAGCCGTGATTCTGGTTTCGTGGTATTAGATGCTGCTCAAATATTTGCGTGAGATAGTGCAGTGTGGATGTGAATAAGGTCAAGGTACTAGTACCATCAAGAATCAAGTCTCCTAAGGAAAAAAGGAAGACCATTAACAAACCCATATTTACTTATTACTCATTCAGACCCCTGAAGAAAGACTCAGTAGTGTTTTATAAGCCTATCAGCACAATATCTTATCATAAACTGCATTCAACTAGAGTACGCTATAATTACTTCTGCTGATGTGTCTCCAAAGTGTGTGCCTTGATTCTATACTTGCCACTCACACACGTTCCTTACTCTCCTGCGAAGACTCACCATTTTCTTGCACATATAAGAGGACAAAGTTCAGTGAAGTGACACTGAAAGAGCTGTCTACTAGGTTTTTTCCTCCTCCCAGTAACCTGGAAACACAGAAAGACATTGTACCCATACACTGGATGCAATACCAATAAAGATCTTTCTCTTGTGCATGACACACTGGGCTGGACTCACATTCAATTTTGATAATAATCCTACTAAAAAGCACAAAAGTAAAATGGGTGCTTACATTTTAGAGCCACCCTTAAAGAGAGAATAGGAATTGAATATCATCAAAAGTTTGTCCATTAGAGGCAAATGTTTGTCATAATGTGCCTATAATGGTGCAACACCAACAGACATTTCATGTATATGTTTGCGTGTACCTAAAAGACATTGAGACATCTATTTCATACATTGGTGAAAAAGAGGACGGGGTCCCCTCTCACTACCAAAAAGCTAGGTTTAGGATCATGGGACCTGTATGGACAAAAGCCATGTGGAACAGGGTCTGTAATAAAGTTGGAAATTGGTATAAACTCTGCAAAAGAGCTGACCTGATTCAACCCAACGCTTGCTTGGCATTTTGTATCAGGATATTTTGTTGTACAATTTGGAAAATCCACATGAAAATCATTGCTTGCTTGTATGTGAATTTAAACTTCACACCGTGCAATGGCGGCAAATTCATTTCTCAAGCAGTTGTTTTCAACACTGGCTCCAAAATTCAATTAAGCTGAGCTCCCCCCCCCCAATTTCTTTTATTTTCTTATTTATCAACAAATAAAAACAGTAACGAAAACTTAAACCTAGCTTTTCACCAATACACATAGTAAAATTGTAGTAAAATAAAGTACATTACAACTTCTAATAAAATGCAAAGTCTAAATACTTCTTTGGCAAAGTACATAGCTCATTATAGTTAGAATTAACATATTCAAAAAAAGAAAGCCATTTCTCAACAAAACCATATCTTTTGTAGTTGTTTCAGCCACAACTAGTTGTATTGCAATTTCATCCATTACCGCAATATCCCATATTTTAGAAAACCACTGTTTCAAAGTTGGCAGTTTGTTTAATTTACAGTTCTGGGCCAGCAGTATTTTGGTTGCCATAAGCATTAAAAAAGCAAGTTCAATTTTATGCCACTTACTTGATTGGTCAGGCCAAAAATTAATTAATATAGCTTCCGGTGTGTTAGGTAGAATAGCCCAACATTTTTTTTTAAATTTCAGTAAGTACAGAAAACCAGAAGGCAAAAATAATTTGGGAGCAGTGTTTTTGCCTGCGTTGTAGGGTTTGATTTAAGGCCAGAAAGCTGGAGTTGGACCGCTGTTAACCAGTGTCACTCCACCCGCCCTCAGCTGAGTTTTTGAAAGCAATAATGGAATGATGAGACATTGGTTCAGGACTTAGGCTAGGGGTGGAGGTTAGTTTTTTTGTTATGGCTATGACAATCAGGGTTACCGCAATATTTATGGATACATTACAACACTTATCACAACTTTCATAAAGTTACAAGGAACTGTGAAAAAGGTATAATTAGGTTTTGTTGTAGCAGCTTAGAAAACATGGTCATTAAAATACAAAATCCTTAAGACTGAAAAATTGGGCTCTTACATTTTGAGGCTAGTTCCTACAGCCACAGAAAATTTGTTAAGGCCTGTCATACGCTCTGTAGACTCTGGACTGGTTTTTGTGACCCACCACAAGCATGCACACACTTGGGTCACATAAGAAGTTAC